AGAAATGAAGCCAGGGTCTCAAAGTCTGGTGGTCTGGGGGCCTTGGAGCCAAACATAAAAGTGCCGGCGTGTAACCTGGGACTACCAGCTAAGAAGCCTGCTTCAGAGACAAGCGGAACAAAGCTGAACTCAACACCTAGCCTTGGGCAGAACTGCCCCATCAGACCTGTCAATTTTTACACAAGAAATAAATGCCTGCTGCCGTGTGCCACTATGGTTTTGTGGTTGTTACGCAGCAAGAGCTGACTAATGGCAGGTGTTCCATGAAGGCCCACAATAAACATATTTGGGATCTGCAGCTTTTCATTTTGCCAAACTTATTTGATCAGAGAACCTTATTTTATTCCATACAAAGCATTTCGGGAAGTAGTGTTATGAACGAAACACTTCGTAGTATTTCTGCTCTAAAATAAAATTATTAGAATTCAATTTCGGGGAGCTCCTGGGTGGCTCAGTCAGTTAAGCGGCTGCCGTCAGCTTGGGTCATGATTCTGGGGTCCTGGGATCAAGTCCCGTATCGGGCTCCCTGCTCAGCGGGGAGCCTGCTTCTCCCTCTGCCTCTGCCTACTGCTCCCCCTACTTGTGTGCTCTTTCTGCCAAATAAATACATAAAGTCTTAAAAAAAAAAAAAAGAATTCAGTTTTGAGAAGTATTTCTTGCAATAAGATTTGTTACCTACTCAATAGAGTCATTCCCGTCTCATATTTCTGGGAAGTATATGAAAATGGCTTCCTAAGATTTATCATATTATTCATTACACCTGCTACTTTTTCCCTTGAGGTACCAGCTTAATCCGATATGCTTAGAAAGGTATTTTTGAGGCAAAATTGAAATATTATTAGTTTCAACATGTTTGCTTCTCTCTCTACACACACACACACACACACACACATACACACACACAATTATAGCTTTAATCTACACACTTTAAATATTTTTCCAACATAACCTTGGAACTGCTATTAGCTCATTCATTTTATGGGAAATTTACACTATATAACCTAAGTGGCAGTGTTAGCTCTTGTCACCTGAGCCAGCCAAATTAGACTTAATTCCTGTTAAAAAGAGACTGGCGTAAAAAAAAAAAAAAACCCACATGCACACATATAATTATATGCATTCTTGGGACATATTTAAGTTGTAACTCAAAGATTAACCGATAAGCCACCAAGCCTTGCAGTGAATTTGACACTTGAGTGAAATAAGATGCCTTCACTTTTGATAATTCTTATCAACTCTTATCAACGCTTTGCCCAAAGGGACTTTCCATCAGGGAAGACAATGGTCGGAGATTGAAGAGATTATAGGTATTAAATGAATTATGTTATCACTCCAGCTACCTCACTTCGAGATACTGGAAGTAAGAACTTCCCACGGCAGGTGGACCTCACTTCTGCCCCTGTACTTCATTCTTGACAAGAGTGTGTGAAGGACACTGATAGACAAGGAGCCCTACAGTGGGGTCCTGGTGCCCTGATTCCAGTGTTTCTAACTGTCCCTTTGTCCAGTGCCTACAGGTTTGTCCGGCCCAGAGCAATGTCCCACCGTCAAGTAAAGATGTGTTAGACTAACACATGTATTTCTTTTGCAAAATGGGAGAAAGGCAATTTTTTAAAAATATTTTATTTATTGGGCGCCTGGGTGGCTCAGTGGGTTAAGCCGCTGCCTTCGGCTCAGGTCATGGTCTCGGGGTCCTGGGATCGAGCCCCACATCAGGCTCTCTGCTCCGCAGGGAGCCTGCTTCCGCCTCACTCTCTGCCTGCTCCTCTGCCTACTTGTGACCTCTCTCTCTCTCTGTGTCAAATAAATAAATAAAATATTAAAAAAAAATTTTTATTTATTTATTTATTTGACAGAGAGAGATCACAAGTAAGCAGAGAGGCAGGCAGAGAGAGTGGAGAAGCAGGAGCCCCACTGAGCAGAGACCCCGATGAGGGGCTTGATCCCAGGACCCTGAGACCATGACCTGAGCTGAAGGCAGAGGCTTAACACTCTGAGCCACCCAGGCACCCCAAGAAAGGCAATTTGAAAGGGGAGGCAGGAAGGAAGGGACCGGCCCAGTCATAATTTCAGGGTAGGTAGGTTTTAGCCAAGAGTACACATTGAATCTGCGAACAAATGCCCTAAAACTATCTGTGCTGAGGGGTGCCTGTAAAATCTTTCTGTACCCCAGGGGAATGCTCCTCCAGACAGAAGTATCATGGTATTAAAATACAATCACATCTTGGGACGCCTGGGTGGCTCAGTTGGTTAAGCAGCTGCCTTCGGCTCAGGTCATGATCCCAGCGTCCTGGGATCGAGTCCCGCATCGGGCTCCTTGCTCTGCAGGGAGCCTGCTTCTCCCTCTGCCTCTGCCTGCCATTCTGTCTGCCTGTGCTCGCTCTCTCTCCCTCTCTCTCTGACAAATAAATAAAATCTTAAAAAAAAAAAAATAAATAAAATACAATCACATCTTAAAATTTCTCAAGATGAGGTGTTTTTCTCATGTTTCTTCACCAAAACATGATTTTACTGTAAAAAAGAGAAGCATCTCTAAGTTTTGTTTCTTTAAAGATAATTTATTGTTAAATGAAGAGGTCACAAAGCAAAATGGAATGGGACAGATGTCAAAGATAAATTTAAAAAATAGTTTTTGTCAAACACTGTTCTGGATTTCCTAAGGTTAGAAACAGGAAAAGAGTCAAATGAAAAGGTAATTATTCTTTTCAAAAGGTCTGACTTTGAAAAGGAAACAACTTTTCTCTGAAAATACAAATCATCCTTCTTACATGAAAGCTATAATTTAAGAGACTGAGAAAAAAGACTTTTTAATTCATAAGTAAACCGTATCTCTCAGATATGCTTAAGAATGGTTGGTTTTAAGGAATTTTAAAAATCATTGCTTCCACCTCATAAACTCACACACAAGTCCACCAAGATCAATGTCATTTGATTCACCCTGAAGTGTCCCATTACATCTTCTTACGCTTTCCTGTAACTTGCTGCAAAGCAGGTTTGAAGAGAAAGAAAGGATTAGAAAGAACTGCAGTTAGTTCCCTAGTGAATAACTTAAGATAAAACCTGCTTTTCAATTGCCTTACCCATTCACAATGACTCATTTCTACTTACTTTACTGATATATTTCAGATTCTCTCCACAGCTAGAATGCTTTGTCCAAACTTAACCCAACCCTCCAGAAACAAAACAAAATCTCATACGGACACCTTAAAACGTTGCCGTGTACAAAGGCCATGTTCTCCCATATGTCTCTCCTGCCACGCTGCCTACAATATCGTTCTGAGCTCATCCATGTGTCCCCACTGGGCCAGGACACAAAGCCTTGGGAACTCTCTTAACATAATTTAAAAAGTACATTTACCGCTTGTCTTAAATGCCAAGATTATGAAATCAGAGAGGAAAAAAATCCATTTTCATCAAGAAATGCCACGTAATTTACTCTTCCAAAGGAGGACAGCATCTGTCACTCTGCATAACGGAGGTCCTGGAGTCCCAGAGTGCCACCTTTACGGGTCACCGCTGAGCTTCGCTGTGGCAAACTGGAGACCATGAACCCACTCAAAGCCTCCACCGAGGGTTTTGTCCAACAGTTAGGGGCATGACAGACCACACTACATTAAAGCTGAAGAAGACACTGGGCAGTTTGGCTCTAGAGGCTTCGGATGACTTTGAGAACGATTATCATCACGCCTGCTCTCCTCAGAACATAAGTCCCTGCTGTGGCTCCACGGTCCCCAGACAGCTCTCGATTCTGTTTTCAGGACACACAGAAGCCATCAACAGAAACCCCAAAATACAGTGGGAATCCGGGTTTACAATACTCTACAACCCTCAAGCATATGGTCTAATTTGGATGTATTCAAAGGAAATATTCACGGATTGTTCTTTCCAATATTGGAAGAGGAAAGGCCACCTGCCACATTTTTCACTCAAACCCCTCAGGGCTTGGCAGGAGGAAGAGGCATGGGCTGGTGGGGAGGCAGGGGGGGCTGTGGGCTGAAGCCAGACACAGCCTGGCCCACAACAGCCTCTGGCCCAGCCACCCCTTCTGCTTCTGAGCCTGGCTCAGCTGAGCTCTCAAAGTGTCCTCCACATGCGCCAAACGCCATGATTGTCACTTACGTTACAGTAAGCACTTACAAGAAACGTGCACCATCCCAACGGCGCCCAAGTTTTGGGGTTTGGCTTGTGACATCAATCCCTATCCTGAAGTCACCTTTCCTGCACCTGGAAGGAACGATGGGGCAATTTTCTTGCTTTCTGGCTTAGACTTAAGGCACTGCAGAACTCCTCTGCGGTGTTGACCCCGTCGAAGTTGACCAGGGGTCCCTGGAAAGGATGCGCATCCTGATGAAGCAGGTCACTGGAAACATCTACATCTGCCTCTCCCAGACGCCAGCCAGTCCTGCGTGGGCCGAAACCTCGTGGAGTCCCCAAAAGTGGTTTCCCTCAGCAGTCCTTCAAAATGCTGTTTCTCTAGGCTATGTTTTGTCTTATGAAGAAAATAGGAAAGTATTTGGAAACCCAAAATACATATCAGGAGAGTTACACAAGCCTGGGGAGACAGATGCCAAGTGTTCAAGGCACTTTGCCCAAGCTCGGACCCTACCGGTGGAAGGACCCAGAACTGAGGCCACGGCTCTCACATGGGCCCCTGGTAGATGTGAGCCTCCTGAAGAGTGGGGAGAACAGGGTGAACATTTCCTCTTTCTTAAAAAGGCATCTTATATTGTGGCTTGGGGTTTTTTTGATATGAAGAGGATGTAGAGAATGCCTAGAGTTTGGGTGAACAGGAATACAAATGGAAAAGGAAATAAATGACGGAGTGAAACTGAGCTCTCCACAGGTTGGACCCAGTTGGCGGTCACAGCTCAGGGAACCAGCACTGCTGCGGGGGAAGACGACTCGGGGCTGGAAGGTCTTACAGCTCACTTTTTCCAGCCCAGAGACTTTATCCACGCTCTTCCTCAGGCTAACCGGCCGAGAGGAGAAGAGCCCTCTTCCAACAAATTGAGACTTTGGGGAAGCCATGCAGCAGCAAATGAGAAATACATGCCTTTGGAGACCAATCTGAACACTTTTAAAAACCCAATTCTCTCCATGACTATAAGAGGCTGTGACATTGTTTTCTTCCCCAGGCCGGACTTTGAGGGACAACGACGAGGCCAGACTCCTCTGGAGCACGTGGGCCCCTCGAGGGCAGCGGAAGAGCCGGTCCAAGCCCACCCCACCCCCGTCAGCACTCATCGGAGAGGCCGTCGCTGCCCAGGACCTCTGAGGCTTCGAGCTCCACGCTGGACAGGAACCTCCTCAGCGTCTTGCGGCAGTTGTAATCCAGCGTCGTGGTGTAGATGGTCTTGGGGTACTTGGGGTAGACGATGGTGGTGCTGAGGAAGCGGGCAGCCTTGTGGCGGGGCTCGAAGCGCACTTCCGCCTTGTAGCTGCGCCAGGTGGAGTCGGGGAGGCAGGTGACGGTCTGGCTACAGGAGGCCACTGCCAGGCCCAGGGGCAGGTGGATGTCGTCGATGAAGTGCCGCTCGGAGTCATACTTGACGGACGACGTGTACCTGGGCGGGAGAGAGAAGGCAGCTCGAAGCCGTTCCCCTGAGCTTGGGGCACGATGGCCCCCACTGTGACCTTGATCCTCTGGTGGGGTGCGAACCCCGAGACCAGGCTGCTCTCGTCAGAAGCAGCCCAGAGCTGAGGAAGAGCTTACTGGGCGGTACTGTTCAAAGCACTTTCTTTCCAGGATCTAATCTAACGGAACCAAGCACCCGGGAGAAGAAATGGCCGCACAGAGGTCAAGGTCACAGTGGGAGTGAGTGGTGGGGCTGGGATTTACGGGCAGGTGTGCAAGATCCCCACGTTCACCCCGCACGCACTGTTTCTCCTGGCAGGCGGCAGCCCCTGGAGGCAGCGCCCCTGTGTGTAAACTGGAAGAGCCGCTCCAGCTGCTTCTCCACGTCTTGTTTCCTCTTTCTGAGAAATGTGCCCAGAAGTAACTGAGCAAAGTGTTCACATGTGGCAAGTGGTGTATGTCAGTGGCAGAACAAGGCGGGTTCTACCCCCTCATAAGGGGTCCATGCTTTGTTTTCTCTGTTCCCTGAAGTCACCATCAGCTTGCTTTTTTTTAAATGAAGCTCTCTGTCCAACGTGGGACTGGAACTCATCTGACCCTGAGATCAAGAGTTGCGCGCTCTACCTACTGAGCCAGCCAGACGTACCCCCCCTCCCCACATTGGCTCTTTAATGACAGAATGAAGGAACCCAGGAATTCTTTTTTTTTTTTTAAAGATTTTATTTATTTATTTGACAGAGAGAGATCACAAGTAGGCAGAGAGGCACCTAGAGAGAGAGTAAGGGAAGCAGGCTCCCTGCTGTGCAGAGAGCCCGATGCGGGGCTCGATCCTAGGACCCTGAGAGCATGACCTGAGCCGAAGGCAGCGGCTTAACCCACTGAGCCACCCAGGCGCCCCGGAACCCAGGAATTCTTAAAAGTTCAGTAATACCGAGTACTAGAACTTGGTCCCCCTTGGTCTTTGATGGGGAGACCCCTCAAACCAGAGACTCGGAGATCTGACCTTATCAATTAGAGCCAATTACCATCTTGATTTCCATAAAATAAATCAACTTCCATGTTCCTCAGCAACTACTTTACCTTTTTTTTTTTTAAATTCTTTCTTTGGTAATTTGGGAGCTAATTATTATTATTTTTTAATGTAAGCAAAGCATTAGTTCATTTTATTGAGTAATTATTACAGCTTCATAGAGCATCACACAGACCATACCCATGGGTCCAGGAGTAAGAATCAGCATTCTTTCCAGTGGGTCGGTTGGATGATGGAAACATTTATTCATTCCCCTTAAGCAAGTGGGTAAGAGGCTGGCGGAAGCTAAGGTCGGGAAGTCATGTCCTCATTTTGTTCAAAATAAAAGCTCCACAGGAATAAAGGACTGAACTGCTCACCTCCAAACTGGTGAGCTGCCTTTGTTCCCCATCGAAGGGCCTTTTGTGTTAGGGAACTGAAACTCCAGCAAAAAACAAAACAAACAAAAAAAAAACAAACCCCACAAGCTACCAAAAGTAAAATTCCTTTCCCTGAAGAGACAGATCTTTAACAGAGACTCTCAGTGGATCTTTGCCCCCAGGTAATCCCGGATGAAATCAATTCCCAAAGGAAGACTCGCCCTGGCCCAGTGAAACTGTAACAGGAGACAAGGGTAGAGCACCTTGAAGCAGGGGCGGGGCAACCGGGCACACAGCTTCCTGAAAGAGGAATTATTTTATTATAAAGCTCTACGCATCTGGTGGTCATGATATGCAAAGGCAAAAAGGGCAAAAAGCAAGTCGCAGGACTTTACATATAACATGGTCTTGTTTTTATTTCAAAGGGTGTATCTATATATTAATATATCTACATATAGATATAAAATATCTATATATAACATATATTTATATATAGATATTTTAAATTTTTAGAAGATTTTAAGATTTTATTATTTATTTGAGAGAAAGAGCACAAGCAGGGGCAGCAGCAGAGAAGGAAAAGCAGGCTCCTGACAGAGCAAGGAGTCCCGATACGGGGCCCCATCTCGGGCCCTGAGATCATGACCCAAGCCCAAGACAGCAGCTCAATGACTGAGCCACCCAGGTGCTGCAGGGCGTTTCTATGTATTTAATTGGTTAGAACACATAAAGAAATCCAACACAGTACCCAACAAACTATGAGTAGTCTTTGGCACTTTTTTGTGATTAACTTTTTAAAAACAAACAAACAAACAAACAGGCATTCATTTCTGGAATAAACAAGGAAAAAATGAAAAACTCCAATCCAATCTGGGCCCACTGTATTTACCTTACTTCCATCGGTGGTAAGGGGTCAAACTCTACTCCTTCGCCAAAGGACAGAGGGCACAGCCTTGGTGAGCAGGCAAAGGTCAGAGGGCTGGGCAGAGACGCTGGGTTCTGCAAGAATGGAGAAGGCAGTTAGACCACAGGCCAGGCCCCCCATGGAGGTCCTAGCTCTGAGCTTCCAGCTGATGGGCTCGACTGTGATTTCTGTCTCCGTCCTGGGAATGAACCTGGAGTAAGGCCGCCCCACAGCATGGGAAGAGCTTTGGCTGGAGAACCAGGAGGCCTGGGTCGCATCACGTGCCTCATTACCTTATCTGTACACCAAGGGGATGCCTCCTTTCTTCACTGGGATTTTGTGAGAGGTTAAGGAGCTCAGCATCATGACCCTGGGATGAGACCTTTGGGCGGTTGCCCCATCCCGCATCAAGGCAGTGAGAAAAAAAAACCTTGACAAACTGGGGTTTCACTAACCAGAGCCCTCAATGATGTATCCCCCAACGCTGCCATGGTCTCAGCAACACTCCAGAAAAGGCCAGAATGAAAAAATTCTACCAGAAATTTTTTCACACTGAAGATTCTGTGGGACTTGACCTGTGCCTTCCCAGCCTCTGGGACGGCTCGATGAACACCCAACCAAGACAGAGGGAGCCACAAACTCACTGGTAAGATGTACACCAAAAAAGTTCTCTACACCACCTTCCACTGCTCGGCAAACTCGAAGAACCAGAGCACAGCATCCCTAGAGGTTATCTGGCTCCCAGCCTGGACGAGGCCCTGAACTTTCTGGTTCATCAGGTAGCCTGAATAAGGGAGGGTTCTGTCCTAGACACAGGTGCTAGTTTTCCCCGAGTTGACTGGAATTGGGCCTCTGTGGTAAGTGTTCAACAGGGAGCAGCGCCTTGGGTTCCTGGGGTTACTGGCAATCTGTCACTTTCTTTGCCTAATTTGAGAGAAGGATCCACACTTGGGCCAGGATGTGGAGGTGGCAGCCCCGCCCCCCGACGTCTTCCAGGGTAGAGAAGGAAGCAGACAGTTTTAGAAGGGAGGCTCTAAGACTTATCGTGTTACCAGGCCAGTGTCAAGTGAGGGTGCAGGGTTGAAATACGAAGTCAAAGGGGACCAGGGTTGGTGAGGGAGGGGCGAAGTGTCCTCTGGGTCCAGCTCCTGAACTTGGGTGGAGGGCTGAAGAAGCCCTGGCTGGAGGAGGGGCTGTGGCTGGGAACCGTGGTCAGTAGACGGGGGCAGGGGAAGTTGTGGGCACTGACTGCCACAGAGCTTTCGGAAATAGCCCCCGAGCAGGGACAGTGGGCCCTGCTCTGCCCCCAGCTCCCTGGCTACCGGACCCTCAACCTAGGGAGTGCCTCAGGGCAGCCCTGGGGGCTGCGGGATGACAGCAGGAGAGGAGGTGCACAACTCTCCCACACACACACTGCAGCCAGGAAGTCACACAAGCCCTCAGTTCTCCTGCCCCTGCCTTATGGGCTCTCTCCTCCCTGCCAACCCAACAGACACGCCACACCTCGGTGCAGGTGCAGGCTGGAAATGGGACAGGCATCAGGAATGACAACAGACACATGAACAAGGTGCCACCAGGGAATGGGGACCAAGCCATTGATTTTGGCATGACTTTGGGAAGCGTCAACGAAGACTTCCCAGAGGAGGTGACAAATTGAGCTTGAAGGGCCAGCAGGGGTCTGACAGGTCAAAAAGACAGCTGTAGGAGAGGATGGGCTCAGAAGGAAAAGGCATTCGAGGTAGAGGGACAGCATCAGAGACACCAATGTATGTATCTGCCTGTGGTCAGGGGGATGAGGCTAGAAGGGCCAGACAACAAGGGTTCTGAAGGCCAAGTTGAAGCAAGTGCTGCGCTCCAAAAGGAATGCACCCCGATGTCCCAGAGACAGGGTCACTGGGTCAAGAACTCCAAGCCCATCGACGTGCATAGGTCTTTAAGGAACAGCAGCTGCCACTGACTACTTCACCCCAGCGGAGAGGGCCATACAAAGTCATCTCCAAGGGGCAGGAAGGGGGGCTGAAAGCCCCACTTTGAGCCTTGGCTGTAGACAGGATGTGGCTTCCCCTGAGCTCTAGGTAAAGGCAATAAACACCACCAACACCTGAGCGATTCCTAAGGCAAAAAAGACTACGTGTTTTTTCTTTAAATAAAAACCTTGAAATAAAATAAAAGGATTCCTTTTTGAAAGGTTCCACCCATCTAAAGGCCTCCCACCCTTCAAGTGCCAGATGGGGATTCGGTGACAGGAGAAGGGGCTGGCACCAGGAGGCGGGAGGCTCACGGGGTAACTTTTCTCCAAGGTCCCCTCCCACATCATGAACACAGTCCCCAAAGGCCGGTCCCTCTTGCTCTCTGAATCAGGGAGCTGAAGCACACACACCCTTCTCCCCAAGACCAGCCAGGAGGGGGCCGGTCCTTGGGAGGCGCCACCGGTGGGGGGCTAAGCCCGGGGATCCCAGGCCCGCAGGACAGAGAAGGCTGGGGTTCCTTCTCGGTGTCCCCGGCCCCTCTCCAGCCCGGCCCCGGGCAGGAACATGGCCGAGCCGCAGGCTGGCGGCCCCGGGGGCCGCCACCCCAAAGACAGAAGGCGGGGGCTCGCCTCTCCCAGGACTCCCGCGCCTCCCAGGCGATGACAATTTTCCAGCCACCGTCTCCAGCTGGCCAGGCTCTCGCCGCGCTCCCGCCCCGGGCTCCCCGCGATGGCCACGCCGTCCCGACGGGCGGGTGGCGGCGCCGACGGCGTTCCCGGAGCAGGCCGGCAAGGCTGGCGGTGGTCCCCAGGGAACAGGCTGCGGGTGGGATGGGGAGGGAAGGGGCCCGAGCGGGGGCACTCACCGGGGCCGCGGGGGTCGCCGCCGCGTCGGGCTCCACCGTCCCGGGGACCGGCGCGCGCTCCCCGCCGCTGCCGCCGCCCCCGGCCGCCGCGAGCCCCCAGTGACTGGGACTGGGGCTGGGGGGCAGCCCCGAGTCTGGACTGTCCAGGACGCCGTCGCCCTTCTTCTTGGTGTCCACGAGCTCGGGCACATCCTGCAGGCTCAGCCGGCCCACCATGGCTGCTAGCGCGCCGGGGCCGGGGGCCGGGGGCCGGGGGCCGGGGACCAGCGAGGGGCGCGAGGGGAGCACACGCGGGCCGGGGCCGCTGCCCGCCCGGCCGCCCTCCCTGCCGGCTGCCCGCGCGCTGTCCGGGTCCCGAGGGCCGCCGCGCTCCCGGCCCCGCCCTCCGCCCCGCCCCGACCGCCTCTCCCGGCGCGCGGGGACCGACCCGCACCGGCCGAGCCGCGAGGCCCGGCGCCAGGGGCCGCTGCGCTCCCGCCGTGCGCCGCCCGAGTTCCACTCGGCGCTGACGCCCAGTCCGCCTCGCGCGGCGGATTCGGGAGCACTGGGGACGCCGGGCGGGCTCCGCCGCGGGAGGGACAGGCACCCCAGCGCCGTCGCCACCCCGCGCCCCGCTACAGGTGGACGCGGGGCGCTGCTCGCACCAGGCTCCTCTTGGCGCCCTGGCCCCTGGCCCTGGTAGGCAGAGCCCGGCGGGCGCTAGTGGGGAGCCCTGGCGGTCTGGAAAGCCAGAGTGGAGTCCGGGCCTGCGGAGGCCTGGGGAGCCGGCCGAACCCAGCGAGCAAACAACTGGAAATTATTAATAGTTAATGCGCCTCGTATGGCTCCAAACGCCTCTTGGCTCAGCCTTGCGGGCTGTGTCTCCGGCTCTCACTTCTGCCCGGGAGGAGAAGACCTACTCCGAGTATCCTCAGGGGACTCCAGGAGGGGGACCCGCATCCTTCCCTGGTCTGGCGGCTCAGCTGAACATGCTGTGACCACACCAGAGGGGAAAATTCTGCAGTGGGCGCAGACTGGGACCTCGAATGACACGAGCTCAGTAGACTGCCCAAGGGGCTCTAATAGGTGGGGGCCCTAGTTTTCATTCATAGGAGTTCCTTTCTAAAAACCAGATTGGGGGATTCCTCCTTTCTTTAGTTTGACAGAGAGACTCCATCTCAGTGGGAACTCGGTTCAGTAGCGCCAGCTGTAGAACTGGGCTATCCTCAAATCTAGGACTTTTGCTCCCAGAGGCCTTCATGATTTTCAGTAAATGCTGGAAGCTCCCACCCCCACCAGCCACCCTCCTTTGGGAGTTTCTGATGGGTGTTTAGCTCAGGGTTTGGAGCTGGAGCCACACCCAGACCCAGTTGGCACATGCCAGCCCTGAGAGGCGCTGTGTCCTGTGCACCCCCCATCCCCCCCTCCCCCCCCCCCCCCCCCCCCCCCCCCGCCCCCTCCCTCCCCGGCCCTACACCCGCGGGGGGCGACCCCCCCCCCCCCCCCGCCCCCCCCCCCCCCCCCGGGGGGGGCGGGGTCTTTCCCCCCCCCCCCCCCCCCCCCCCCCCCCCCCCGGGTCTACGTCCTGGCAAAAACAGGTCCCGGGGTTGGGACCTGTTAAAGCCAGAATTCAGAGTGGGTCAATGTTAGAGTTTCTCCTGGCAAAGTTCAGCCCTCCTACCTTCCTCACTCATCATTTTGAAGTAACAGAAAAGGGAATTGACTTGGTCCAAATCACATAGCAGGTAGGAGGCTGCTTGCCTTGGATCATTCCCTTCCCTGGAAAATAAAACCTGGCACATGCTTGTGTACTGGGAGGTCGCTCATTCATTTAGGGCCTGTGAGAATGGATTACAAAGTCAACAGGGCACAGTCTTGGACCAGTGGTTAGTGCAAGGATGAACTGTTAGCAGTGGGCCCTAGAAGCTGGGCCAAGTACGCGGCTGTTCCCTCCTGCCCATGCTAATCCCACCATCTGCACCTCCCAGGCTGCCTTCAACATAGGAGACCACGGGAGGAATGGGTGTGCTTCTTGGCGTTGTGGAAAGCATGGTCTGTTGATTGTGGGAGGACCTGGCGCCCTAGAAGGAATTTGCCCCCCAGCATTCCCAGCTACATCCTAAGAACCCTTCAAGTAGAGGTTAGGCAGGGCTTTCTGAACCCAGAGGACGGTCCTCAGGCATCACCCAGGACAAATGCCAATGAGTTCCTGAAGCATAAGCCAATGGTCCACTGTGGCCTCCTTCCCCACAGAGGAACCCAGCATTGATTCACACACAGAAAAAAACTGTGGAGGGGCTTGAAGACGAATCCAGCCCCAGGTCTGGACACTGATGAAGAAGCAGAGTTGGAGACCCATCCAGATTCCCCGGAAACAGGTGTTCCCTCTGCATAAGCCGCACCAAACTCGGGTCTTCCACTGGTTCCCAGCCAATCCAAAGACAATGAGGAGGGATCCCAGGTTTGTACCCCCCTGTCAGACAGTCTATGAAGAGCTCAAAGGAAGTCCGAGCAGATTGGAAGCCACATGGTGACCGAGGGGAAGGCGGGGAACGTCCTGCCCACTCTGGTGTCTCCACCAACTCACTGTTCCTGGTGGAGACGAGCAGAGATGCTCTCACCATCCAGCTTCGACCTGCCCATGTGTCCTGAGTGTGAGATCCGGGGGACATCCTCTGTCGCTATGAGGGAGCCACGCCCCTCAGCCTGGAAGGCAGCTATATCTGCTCGGCCCAAGCAATGAGCTCATAATGTGAGTTCGTATGGTCGTCCTTTGGAAGAGCTCCATGACCTGTGCTCATCGTTGTCCTCGTCTTATTCCTGATTGCTTTCCCAAGGATGCTTCTTCAAAAATCTCTAACCAGCGCTGGAGAAGGACAATGGGTCCCATCTTTACCCACCCCTGGTCAGCCTCTGAAGACAGGCCTTCTTTTGAGGGATTGCTGGGGCACACCTAGAAATTGGGGGTGGGGGGACTCCATGACACCAGACAAGACCGCAGAGCCTGTTGAAGAGTGGCCTCTTCTCCATGCTGGCGTTCCAGAGCTGGACAGGGCCATGGTCCCCCTGCCTGGGTCACAGAGACCGATGTCCTCACAGGACTTGGCTTCTGGCCTAAGGCCTTTCTCAGAGGCGTCTGAGGAACAAAAGATACTGATCGATGATGCCAATCCTGCATTTTCCCTTTTTCTGCACTAAATTAAGCAGATGCCTGAATGGAGTTGAGTCAGACAAGCACAGGGCAGGACCTCCCCCCCCGCCCCACCCAGCCCCCAACTGCCGCAGCTTATTGTTTTGGAACAGCCGGTCTTCAGTAAACCCAGCCAGACAGCAGATTAAGAACACCCAGGGGTCTAGCACGCTGGCTTGTGCCCCTTGCCCCGTGGCACCTTGTCACCCCAGCCCCTTGGGTCCCAGGGTTCTGGAATTCCTGATGCGGTGGATTTGCCTTACCATAGAAGCAGGTCCTTCCTTTCCTTCATCTGCCCCCCATCAAGCCAAATGCTTTCCAAAAAATGAAACTTTTCTGTATTTTAGGGCTAAGATGATAGTTTTCAAAGAACATCAAAAGTGACCTGCTGGATTCAATTAAAAGGAGGAACTGAATTGGGGGCACCTGGGTGGCTCAGTCGTTAAGCTTCTCTGCCTTCAGCTCAGGTCATGATCCCAGGGTCTTGGCCTCGACCCCCGCATCGGCCTTCCTGATCAGTGGGAAGCCCAGTTCTCCCTCTCCCACTCCCCCGCTTGTGTTTCCTCTCTCACTGTGTCTCTCTCTGTCAAACAAATAAAATCTTTAAAAAAAAAAAAAAAGGAGCTGAATTAAAAAGGGGATCCTTGGAAATGACACCGCTCGTGGGAGTGTGTGTGCACAGGTGTGGTGAGGTCAGTTTCTAACCCTGAGCCCCTGGCGCTCACAAAGATAGCCGCCACCAGAGAGAGCCAAGGGATCCCAAGGTTCTGGCTTGGCGATTTCAGAGGGAAATGGGCCTGGGGGCACGGGTCAGCTCCTTCTCTGACCTTTCAACTGGATGGAAAACCCTCTGGCTCAGCCCAGCGGGCGACACTGAACCTAGAAGCTGAATGCGGATTGGGGTGGAGTCAGGCTGGTGTCCCCTGTGTGGGGATCCCCTTGACCCCAGACACAGACTCTATCCTCCTCTATCCTATTTGTTTGCTGAGAGCAATGCTCCCAAAAGCTCCCTAGTTACACAGAAAAGGGCCATGGCCTCTGCAAAATAAAACCCAGATGGGATTTTGCAGAGAGCTGGGGCACACGGCCTCCTTGGAGCGGCATCAATACACTTGCACTCCTGGCTCTGTCCTGTGTATTCACACTGGACAAGGACTTGCAGCCCAGAAAAATCGCTCTGAGTTGAGCAATTGAAGTTAAGACCCTTGGCTCCTTGACGGAAAGGCAGGGTAGAAGGGTGTGCTGTCACCATCCCTGGGGAACACACAGCAGGTCTGTGTGGTCACACTCCAGAGGACGCAGGGAGACATCGTGGTGTTTCAGGACCACCCCGGGATTCGGGCTTGCCTGGGCCGTGAGGGGAGAGACAGTGAGTGGGAGCCCGTGGAGGCGGCCAGTTGGCTCTACGGTGAAGATCTGAGCCACAGTGTCCCTTCCTGGGAGCCGTAGCCCCAGAGTGCATTCCTCTCCTCCCCCAAGTTCAAAGCTGAGTAGACGCAGGCAGGAGGCGGCTGTGGTTTGCAGCAATGTACAACTGGGAACTCTCCATACTTGCTGAAGACATTTACGTGCCTTTGAAGAAATGTTTTTCAGTTCTGAGTCTCAGCTGAAAATTAGCCAGGGGTGGGGGAAGAACGTGGGGTGAGAGGAGAGGGACCAAAGAAAAACTGCTTCTCATGTTTTCCCACGCCATATCCCTGCGGGGCGAGGGGCGCTAGCATTTTCCTGCCTCTTGCCCTGTGCTTTTGTGGGATGACCCCAACCCCTGACAGGTATTTCTGGAAATCTCTGAAGGTGTCTCTCATGAGCTCATAAGTAAATCTGGTCACATACATGAGAAGCCTGCCGTCAATTTTCTTTTTCCTGCCCCCTCACCACCCCTGCCTCTGGTTCTGCTAAGTTGTGTGACGGTGTCCCACGATGGTGACCCACCATGGTCCCCTGGCAGGCTGCCCTTGCTGAGACCACCATCGGATCCACCAGGCGCCTGGGAGACGTCATAGCCATGCCGTCGTGGGTACCGTGCCTCTGCCTCTCACGAGGCACTATCCAAAGCCCTGGGCGCTTCTGCCAACCCTGA